TGCTCTCTCTAGCAAAGGCAGCAGGCCAAGCGGGGAAGGGGGGGGGGAAGGGGGCAGGTGGATCTGGTGCTCATGGGGAGCCAGCTTCACTTTACAGAGTCAGGTTGAGGTAGCAGGGTTGGTAGTCAGAAGGTTTTCTGGTAAGCCAAGCACATATGGAAAATAATTGAGAAATAAAAACTCATTATGCCACTTTTGTGATAGTTTCAGAACAGAGCCATTTGAATCCATATGTAGAGGGGGGGGGAAGGGGGCAGGTGGATCTGGTGCTCATGGGGAGCCAGCTTCACTTTACAGAGTCAGGTTGAGGTAGCAGGGTTGGTAGTCAGAAGGTTTTCTGGTAAGCCAAGCACATATGGAAAATAATTGAGAAATAAAAACTCATTATGCCACTTTTGTGATAGTTTCAGAACAGAGCCATTTGAATCCATATGTAGATACATGATGTACACTGAATCTCAGTGCATTTAAAAATATTCCACCACTGAATTCCTTATTCTGAATTAAGCAGGAAGAACGTTTCAAACTAATTTCTCCATCAAAATACAAAGTATCACAATGATGATCCTCATTCTGTGAAGAAATCTGAAATAGGAGAATCCTAATAACTAATGCAATGTACTTTGTGTTTTAAGACAAAGTAATTACTCCACCATTTTTCATACATTAATTGTGACTACTGCAATCACAAAATATAGCAGACACTAACATTTTTGGTTGCAATTTACATTCTGATATGTTTTCATGCAGGTTCTGCACTAGTTAAGTAAAATGAATTAGCAACTCATTAAGTTACACTTGAATTATTAAAGGATTATTAATATTTTATCTGTCCCTCATGACTATGACCACACATACAGATGAACAAATTATATTCATTAGGTTATGGATAAAGTCCTCTTGGGAATGTCAAATCTACCAGTGCCCTCCAGGGTTAGGTTTTGAATTTGGATCTCTGAAGACTTGAACAATCGCTAGATGACTCCCTCTTGATTACATCATCCAAAGCAAGAGAAAGTACCATTTTCTTCTTTACACTATATTGTGGCTTAAGTAGGTTTAGTGATTCACCGGTTCCATAAGGCTGCACTTGGTTTAAAAATGAGTGGTAGTCAATCTCTGCACCCTTTAGGTGAGGATGTGTCAGCAGGAAATATGTACTACTTAAAAGTGAATACATAGCAGATAGAAGCATACCCAACAGCAGACTGAAAACTACACTTTGGGCCAACATGAGTGCCTCAAAAGCTTATCTTATATTAAATTACAGAGCTCTGTTTTGCAGGTCAATAGGCAAAATTTAGTCCTGTGAGAAAAATAGGCAGAAGGTCTTTCTTCCATTTCTCTAAGGGTACATCTTGACTACATGCCTCTGTCGCCAGAGGCACGTAGATTAGGCTACCAGGCATAGGAAAATGAAGCGGCGATTTAAATAATCGCCGCTTCATTTAATTTTACATGGCTGCCGCGCTGAGCCGACAAACAGCTGATCAGCTGTTTGTCGGCTCAGCGCGGCAGCCATGTAAAATTAAATGAAGCGGCGATTATTTAAATCGCCGCTTCATTTTCCTATGCCTGGTAGCCTAATCTACGTGCCTCTGGCGACAGAGGCATGTAGTCAAGATGTACCCTTAGAGAAATGGAAGAAAGACCTTCTGCCTATTTTTCTCACAGGACTAAATTTTGCCTATTGACCTGCAAAACAGAGCTCTGTAATTTAATATAAGATAAGCTTTTGAGGCACTCATGTTGGCCCAAAGTGTAGTTTTCAGTCTGCTGTTGGGTATGCTTCTATCTGCTATGTATTGGGCCCAGAGGAAAAGTACTCTCTCAAAACACAACCTTTGAGTTGCTACCATCACACTAATGCTTATAGTAAGATCAACTATAGAATAAATCCTATGATGTGGTCACAAGACAGACAGCTTCTTTGTCCATAAGTTTATCATCAGCACCAGTCCTATTACTAGAACGGTTAAGAATGGATTACCATTTATTGCCAAGCATTCAGTTTATTTGCTTCTTGATTTAAAAGCTTATTTTCAACATGTAGCACAATGGTCTGTAAACACTTCCTAAGGACAATGTACACCGCATTAAAAGATTTTCCTTTTATTAAAGGAAATTTATAGCCATACAAAATGTGTTCAATTTTATAAAAGCCCCAAAGTAAGGTTTGTATTCATAGTCCTATTTGGCTTTGCAGTCTTCCTACACATCTCACCTTTGGAACCCTAAGAAAAAGAGTGCTTTTATAATGTGTTCCAATGAAACTAAAAATAAACCTGTTTAGCAAAACCTTAACAATTACAATTTAAGTTCACAGCCCTAAGTATATGGGATTACACTGCTGACAATATCTTAATTTGTTTTTCTTTGGGGATTTGGGTTTAAGAGAGCATGCACTAAACTGGTGCTCCTACTACAGTATAATTAGTAATTTTGTATTTCTCTTAGTCCCTCCCTCCCCCTAAAAATAATAAAAGGAATCGAGTCCTATTGAGATCTTGCTTCTGTGTTTTCTAATCTACCTTCTTAGAAACTGGATTCCTGACTCAAAACACAACAGAAATTGCTTCTACTTAAATTATATTTATAGAATGAAATCCTGATCTCAGTGACTTCAATGGGATCAGAATGTCACCTCTAATTTTTCCCCATAAACAGACCTGAACAATGAAAGAATAAAATGAAAGCAAAGAGTCCGCAGTTTAATAGCTACAAAGAATAGCTAGTTTAAAAATTACCTTGTCCTGGAGGGTTTGCTGCCATCTTGCTACTTTCAGTAGGAATTTTACCCAATTACAGTTAGACTTCTCAATTTAATGAAAATCTGCAAAAATGGACACAGCATAAAATATTAACTATTTGAACGAGAGCCAGGTTTTATTTCAACGTGGGCTATAAAAGGCAATAGTTACCAGTTGTTACAATGTCACTCTGAATTAATGCAACAGTTGATCAGATTCTTAAATTCTCTATGGTTCACCCAGTGCTATTTGAAATCTGATACTTTCACAAGACAGTATGCTCAGTATGTCTTTTTGTGACAGGTACCAAGAGTGCCCAGTATCTGCAAATTTGTTTCTCCACTAGCGCCTTCTTGAGGGAAAATAGGTTCACCAAGAATATATTTTGGATTATTATTAATCATGGCACTATGTTTCATTTATACACTTTTCTATTAACAACTCATTTTAGAAAGATTCCAAAGTTTTAGACAGCCATTTAAATCCCTAATCAACTCACTATATTCCTAAGACAGTCAATCACTTTTTGACTCAATCATGTCATATCAGACTTGATTTTCCTCCTAATGAGTTCCATAAGACATGTAGGACTTATCTAGACTACGCTAAAGTGTAGAAAGAGGATATGCAAATTCTGCAGGATAGGACTTATCTAGACTACGCTAAAGTATAGAAAGAGGATATGCAAATTCTGCAGGAATTTGCATATCTTCCAATTTCAGTTTCAAAAGAAGAGCTTTTGAAAGTAGTTTAAACGCAGCTTTTTGGGCAACCCCCTGCCCCTTTTGTTGAAAAGCTGTGTAAACCTCCTTTTTTGAGGAAGAACGGCTTTTTGACAAGGGGTGGTGGTGGTGGTTTGCCGAAAAAGACGCATCTATACTACTCTCACTTTTGAAAGTGAGATCAGAAGATATACAAATTCCTCTTTTGACACATGGGCATAGTGTATATAAGCCTGTACATATTGCAGGATCTGATCTATACTTTAAAGACTGATACTGTGTGATTTGTTATTGGAAGTTAAGTACCTGAAGGGGCAGACCTTAAGATTATGTCATTAGACTTTTCTCCCTAACACTGCTGCCATTGGTTCAGCTCCATCAGAGCGGAAGGGAGGGAGGGGCAATAGTGGGAGTGCTAGCACAGACTGAACCTTAGGGCTTGATCCATATGGTCTAATCCCACTCAGAGCAGGACTAGCTACAATGGTATGGTGCTAAGACCCAATTGGATATGGGAAAGTCAGTGGATGTGATATACCTTGATTTCAGCGGTCTCCCACAATACGCTTTCCAGCAAGTTAAGGGAGCATGGATTGGATAAACGGACTCTAAGGTGGATAGAAAGACAGCTAAACTGTCAGGTCCAACCAATAGTGATCAACGGCACGATGTCAGGTTGGCGGTCAGTTTCTACCCGAGTACCCCAAGGATCTGTTCTAGGACCAGTTTTGTTCAACATTGTTATTAACGACCTGGATGAGGGGATGGATTGCACCATCAGCAAGTTTTCAAATGAGGGGAGAGGTATATAGGCTGGATAGGGTCCAGGGTGACCTGGACAGATTAGAGAATTGGGCCAAAAGAAATCTGATGAGGTTCAACAAGGACAAGTGCAGAGTCTGCACTTGGGACGGAAGAATCCCAAGCATTGTTACAGGCTGGGGACTGAATGGCTAAGTAGCAGTTCGGCAGAAAAGAACCTGGGATTTACAGTGGATGAGAAGTTGGATATGAGTCAACAGTGTGCCCTTGTAGCCAAGAAGGCAAATGGCATATTATGGTGCATTAGGAGGAGCATTGCCAGCAGATCTAGAGAAGTGATTATTCTCCTTTATTCGGCTCTGGTGAGGCCACACCTGGAGTACTGTGTCCAATTCTGTCTCCCCCACTATAGGATGGGGACACATTGGAGAGAGTCTAGCAGAGGGCGACCAAATGATTAGGGGGCTGGAGCGCATGATCTATGAGGAGAGACTGAGGGATTTGGGTTTGTTTAGTCTGCAGAAGAGAAGAGTGAGGGGGGATTTGATAGCAGCCTTCAACTTCCTGAAGGGAGGTTCCAAAGAGGATGGAGAAAGGCTGTTCACAGTAGTGAGGGATGGCAGAACAAGGAGCAATCGTCTCAATTTACAGTGGGGGAGGTCTAGGTTGGAAATTAGGAAAAACTATTTCACTAGGAGGGTGGTGAAGCTCTGGAATGGGTTACCTAGGGAGGTGGTGGAGTCTCCATCCCTAAAGGTGTTTAAGTCTGGGTTTGACAAAGCCCTGGCTGGGTTGATTTAGTTGGGATTGGTCCTGCCTTGGGCAGGGGGCTGGACTTGATCTCCTGATGTCTCTTCCAGCTCTATGATTCTAGTTGTCACCTGATCTCCCTCTGGTTGCTACCTGTGATGATGGCAATGACATGATGTTTTAGGATGAAACACTAATGCAAACATGCCTAATGGAAGGTAAATACAGAGGGGAAGGATGGGAAAGACCAGCCTGTGGCAGCAAGATTAGGTAGTTGCCTTGTTTATACTAGGGCATGTCATGGGAGGGTGATGCAGGCTTGTTCAGCCCTGTTGCAGAGGGGAAGCCTCTAGGACAGGGATGGGCAATCATTTTTTGCCCCGGGGCCACTTCAGAAATCTTTGAAGTGTCCATGGGTGGCACCGGAAGGGGCGGGCCTGGATACTTTCTCACCCCCTAACCAATCATGGTCTATGGGTGGGGAAATGCCTTTCCCCCTCCCAGAGGTTCCCCCTAGGTGCCCACATGCTTGGCAGTGGGAGGAGAATTCGCACGCTCTCCCTCCTGCCCCCAGGCCAATCAGGGTTTGTGGGCAGGGGATTGCGTGAAGCCTCCTCCCACTCTGCCAGGAGCATGTGACACTTCTAGAGCACCACACGCTCCTTGCAGGTTGGGAGGCAGGGTGGAGGAAACTTTGTGCACTCCTTGCACCCCCAGGCCAATCAGGGGTTGGGGGCAGGGGAGTACACAAAGTCTTCTCCCGACCTGCCACGAGCCGCACAATTTTGGCAGGACAGAGGAAACTTCATGCGCTTCCCCCTGCCCCCAGACCCTAATTGGCCTGGGGGCAGGAGAGCAGCAGGGCCTCCGTGGGCCAGATCAATCTGCTTGGCGGGCCAGATTCAGCCTGTGGAGGCCCTTTTGCCCATCCCTGCTCTAGGACAAGGAGAGAGGCTTGGGAGGAGGCGGAGACTCCAGGTATAGGAGGGACTGAGGAGACTAGTTATGCTTGGCCTGGAGATGCCAGGGCAGGTTCACAGAGGTTCCCTCCTCCCAACACAGCGCCCATGCACAGCTGCCAGAGAACCAGGCCAGGACTCTTGTCTCAACAGTCCTGGCAGTGCCTGAGGGCCAGAGCCCACATGACCCCTAACCCCATGGCAACCTGAGCACACCCACACTATGGAAAATAGGAGAGTTCAGGGGCACCTACACATAGGATCAGCTATGGGGCACCCCCACAGACCTAGCCCCTGCCCAGACACTGCTATGGGGCAGAGCCCCGCTGGAGCTGGCCTGGTGGGGCCCTAGGTTGAACCTCCCCAGTTTTACCCTGCAGCTCCACATTACCCTGTTTTACCCTCCCCTCAGCCCGCTGCAGGCATGGACTCCCCCACCCAGCTCCA